CAATCAGCTGAGAAGAGGAAAAAAAGCTCAGCTGAGAGGAGAAAGAAGAGAAAAGCACAGGATCCGACCTGCCCCTGCAGTTTTCTCTTCTTTATCCTCTCAGCTGATTGGCACTGCAGGCCTCAGCTGGTGTGGAAAGCTGCATGTGCAGATAAGGTGCACGTGTTAGGTGCGCACACATGTGATCACCAAACCGGTAGTGGTAGGATCCCCCTGCTGCCCTTGAGGTTATGGGTGCTCCATCACTGGAGGTTTTCAAAAATAGACTGGACAACGATTTGACTGGGATGGTATAAGACTCCTGCCTTGAGCAGGGGATTGAACTACAAAACCTCCAAGGTAGCTTCCAGCCCTGATTCTAAATTCCCACTAAAGGCAGTTGGACAAAGAGGCTTTTATCTGTTTTGTAGCAAGAGGTGTGTCCCAGCCTTGAACTAATCACCTCACCTCCTGTCTTCCTGGGGCTGCAGAAAAGGGGGCCTTTCCTGGCCTGCACTAAAAGCCAGCCTTTGAACTCTGCAATCAGTGCTTGGCTACATATTTTGGGTGTGTGTGTAGTTTTTAAAATTCTTTGCTAAGCCCTGGTTCAGCCTCTCAAAAGGTAACTCCTTGTCAAACTCTTATCACCCATGTAAAAAAGTTAAAAGCAAAAAACAAAACCTCCCTAGTAGTAATTAAGACCTGGGAAAGTTGTGTCCGCCCATGAGGGGTTCAGAGAGAAAGTAACACAGAAAGGGTGCCTCTCTATCCCAAGACAAAAAAATCCCAGTTTTCAAATCAACAAGGATGACTGTGACAACCTGGTGCCATCACTAGGCAGAATAATTTAGCAAAGAGAAAAGCAGATATTTAAAATAGGTGATGTCCATAGAGGAAAATTCACAAACCAGGGGTCTTCAATTCTGGGAATTGAAGTCCACAAGTCTTAAAGTTGCCAAGGTTGGAGACCCCTGATTCAAACATTTTTATCTGCTTTTCATATATTGACAAAAGAGTCTGTCGGAAGGGTCTTCAAAAAGTCAAGAAGGCAGCTACCATAATAGGAAGCCCAGCCATTTACCAGGCAGGGCTGCATCATTGGCTCAGGAGCAAACATGCATTTCCCCAGTTCAGAATCATGAAAGCAACACTGCACCATTGCAGCATTAACCCCATGTTATTTTTTCCACATACATCGTGATGTGATGAATGAAGAAAGGGATGGGTCTTATGCTACAATATGCTGTTTCCATCAGATCAGTAGTTAGATCTCCCCTTAGGGATCCACCGGCTGTAAAAACTGAACATCGTTTCTATCTTTTCCTTTCTTCAAATGAATTCTGTTCTAGCTGCCCATTAATACCATTTTGCAGCTTTGCATTTTGTTTCCTCCCCCCCCCCCCCATCCCTCTTGTTTGGGAGACCTGTCTAAAACGAAAACTGTCCAATTACAGATCTTTGTAGGAAACATTTCAATGTGTTTTAAACAAATAACAGATTGTATATAATAAATTGTACAAGGACAGCATGATGAAAGTCTTTTCAAGCATGAATTGTGTGCTTTGCAAATACTTTTACATCTCTAAGTGTAAGAAACATGGTTAATGGGTAATGAAAACACCCATGGCATTTAAAAAATCAAGTCAGATACATTTGGCTTTCCACTTTCAGTTCCAGATGGTGGGAATTATAATTTATGTTATCGTTAATGTGCTATAAAAATTCTCCTCAGATGGCAACACATAGCCAACCATGGCTGATCTTGGAGAAAGAAGCTTAGGAAAGTGGACCTGGTTTATACTTGCACAGGAGATAGTAGACAACCAGGAAATCCCATGGTTATTGACTAGGCTGAGAAGTTAAATAAAATAATTCAGAAAAAGAATAAGAACACCCTTCTGCCAACAGGTTTCTACATTTATCAGGAATCAAATTCAACTCAAGGAAGGCTCGATCTTTCATTTGTAAATAAAATTTGTCATCTCTTAGCCTTTGTCCCATGAAGTAGCAAATATAGTCATTTGCTTACCTGGACTAACTTAACAATCAGAATTGTCAAGAGTCACATTTGAAGTTATGGTTTTGTATGCTTTTTAAGTTAAATCCATAATATTACGTGGCTATTCACTAAAGGTAACAGGTATATAAATAGATCATATAATTTATATAAATAGATAAACCAGAGGACCTTAGTAAGAGATGAATGGGTTTGCTTTGAAATGTTTTTTATGTTGTTTGGTTAGTTTTTTGCATCCTATTCATGCTGCTGTCACCCAGTAAAGGAGTCTTCAGAAAAAGCTATAAAAAATCAAGATGGTGTTCACAAGACACATAAAAATGAGTGGGAGTACAGAGCACCTTGACTTTTTCTGAACCTACTCCATGGAGGCTTCTGTATCCAATCTTTTGATATATTTCACATATTGGAAGTTAAAACCCATCCTCTCCTAGAAAAATGAAATATCCTAGAAAATATTAAAAAGGCAGAATATTTCCCCTAAAAAGAGTAAAATAGAAACTCAGGCAGAAACTCAGCCCCCCACCTTTGCTAATGGGCCATTAAGGCCTAGGTCAGAGTACTCTACATAATAAAGGCCTCTACCCATCTCACCACCTAGCCTGGGGAGATTGTATCAGCCAACACTCAGGTGAAGCCATGTGGTCCAGACAAAGCCACAAAGTTAGTTAAGACCCCAGCCCCTGGGAGTCTGACAGCCAATGGGATACATTTTTTACACAGGAACAGGAAACACTAAGGTGGAGCCCAACAGAGGTTATAAAACTAAGGGTCTCTCAGCATCTCAGCCCTTTTTCTTCTTTCTTCATCCAGGGCATGTGATCCTGTCCACCATTAAACCATCTTTCCAAGCAGTCACCATGTTTCCAGTGTCTTTCTTCCCCACTTGGAACTGAATCCAGAAGGCTATTCTTCTGACACAGATAAATATTGAAAGGGATTTCTTTTCCCTTTTAGACATTTTTTTTATTTCGTAAGAAATAAATGTTTGGCTATCCTTAAAACCAAGTACAAAAAGAGTTAATGTAGGAGTGTCACAAATCTAGGACTAATTGACTTCATTCAATCAAAATCCAGCCCATCCTTTTATGGTGAAGAAAATTATAACCAAGTACTAACGGTTCGAGACACCTGCTTTCTTCAACTCCTTCTCCTCTGTAAAAGGGGAAAGTAGGGATCCCCTCCCATAACCCTGTCTCCAAGCTTCCCCTTTGCTTGATGAACTGGGTGCTTGTAATCCTTATTCACAAGCTGTAGGGATAGTTCAAAGAAACAGCACAGATCCGCATGCCAGGCTAGACAAAGGGTGTAAGAGGGAGGCAAATGGAATGCTTGGAATCTGCTCCAAACAGATAACTCATTTCCTCTTAGTTCTGAGCTGAGCTGCAAGAGATGGGGCCTTCCTTGTGAACTTGTAGAGCAGCTAGAAAATAAGAAGCCTGAGATTAGTTCAGATGGAGGCCAGAGGCTCTCAGAAGTAGGAAAGGAAGCAGATTTTCTCAATCTCAGCTTGGAGCATCTATGCCGGCCAAGGAACAGCAGCCCTTAGAACTTCATAATATAAACCTGTTGATTTCTTTCACATTTTACTTCCCTCAATCTTAGATCTGTCTACAAACTGAAAAGTGACTTAAAATTAAAACTGCAGCTCCAAGGTAACCAAACCACACTGCGTTATTCTTGTGCTAAAATTCTAATCTGCACAATAGATTAGAATCTGTATTACAAGTTGCTTTCAGAGTGTGCAGAGTAGGGAGTTGGGATGGTATCAGCTTCCTCATTTCACCAGGATGCATCTGTACTAGGCTGTAAACTTAGAAACAGATTAGTGATTTCAACAGTGTTCATGATATGAAAAGCTAATTAAATTATCAAGCCTTCAGTGTTGTTTGAGATAATAATTCAGTTGGGAAATTCAGAATGTTATTTTTGTCAATAAAGTAAATATCAGTACCAGGTGTCAAATATTTTCCAAGATCTGAAATATCTAAATATTAAGTTAGATACATAGAAAACATTTCCAGGTGGAAAACTATATTTATTATTTTTGCTGCAATATAAATGTAGGATCTTGCAGAATAATTAGATTTTCATTATAGTTTTTTTTAATTAGTAAATGCATTACTATGTTATTTAAATTGATGGGCTTCATAACACCCTCTTCAGCCTATGTTTTGATTAGAATGACAATGTATTATGGATCTTACCTATAAATATATTGGGAAGGTAATAGATTTGGGAAAGCTAGCTTATGACATATAAGTAGGTATATCCTTCAGTTGTGAATCTGTACAAGAAAAAGAAATGATTTTTTTTCTTGTTTAGTGTTAACATATTCCAGAGACATGAGTAAATTTATAATTATCTAAAAGAGATAGTAGCAATCTGATGAGTAACACATGTTTGAACTTCAGCATGGCCAATAGCGAAGGGATGCAGGATGTGTTACGCAAGATACTTGGAGTGGGTCAGGATTAAGAAATATATACTTTATTGATGTTCTAGGGAAAAAAGCCCATAGCTTTATTTTCTAATATCACATAATGATTTCACAATATTTGGAGACTTAAACACTCCAGCAACAAATTATTTTTTTCCAAAGACTCCTTTTACACAACATATTTATATTTACCATTAACAAAACAGGCTGAATTTGTATGATGTCTAAAGGAAAATATAGCTGTCAAAAATAATTAACTATGTTTCACGTGTTCTATAATTGAAGCTGCTAAATCTTTCTCTAATCTCTTTTAGTATATTGTGTGAAGAGAGCCAGAGTTAGCACAGATCTTTGTAGGTTTATGAAGAAGTCCAATTCAATTCAGTGGAGCTGTGATGCCATGTAAGATGCTGCCTGCATTGCAAAACACTGAGATTCAGAATTTCTTAAGAGATTCCTAGATGAAAAACCAAAGGATGCAAAGAAATGAGAAAAAAAAATGGGATTTTTTTTTTGAAGGTTTATTCAGACTTCTTTTTTGATAATTTCTATTTTGTTTCACAGGCCAACAAAAACTCCATCAAAATGTCCAGCAAACGAGCCAAGGCAAAGACCACCAAGAAGCGCCCTCAGCGTGCCACCTCCAATGTCTTTGCCATGTTCGACCAATCACAGATCCAGGAGTTCAAGGAGGCTTTTAATATGATTGACCAAAACCGTGATGGATTCATTGACAAAGAGGATTTACATGACATGCTGGCTTCTCTAGGTAGGAAAATAAGTTTAATCCAGTGCTATATAGTGCACTGAGTAGGGAAGGCTGGGATTTTGTAGATATTGTCCAACAACATCTCCTAAGTAGTCCCAATTGAAATGATGATTGAGATGGTTGATAGGAGGTGTAGTTCAGCAACATTTGAAAGGCTACCAAAGTATCAGGATTTCTTTAATTTTAATCTAGTCTCAACACTGAACTGCCGAAATATCCTTAGCTCTGAAACCTGACCTCTGAATATCTTGATATCTGAATATCCTGATCTCTGAAACCTCATTTGAACATACAGCTGAATGATTCAAGGATTCAAGGCAGGAGAAGTAATACTTTTGAATGCTCCCTTGTATTACGAATTCCACACAAGCAGAAAAACAACACAGTAAGCAAAAGATAGAGCCAATCTCAGGTAGGCAGAAAACTTGAAAAGGATTAGGTCTGGTTGGTTATTTGGATGGGAGAGTGTTAGACAGAACCAGGGCTGTAGGCTAGACTGAAGACATGTCCCAGAAGAAGATAATAGCAAACCACTTTTGAAACTCCATCAAGAAAACTGCATGCAGTGTCGAGTCTCAGGGTCATGTGATCTCCATTTTGGAACCTTCCCAGCTGGCTTCTAGCAAGCAAAGTCAATGGGGGAAGCCGTATTTGCTTAATGACCATGTGATTGGCTTAACAACTGCAGTGCTTCGTTTAACCACGATGGCAAAAAAGGTGGTAGACATTTGTAAAAAGTCATAGAAGTGGTTGCAACTCATCTGCCTTGTTTAGTGGTTAGCAATGAAAATTCTGGTCCCAATTTTGGATGTAAACCGAGGACTACCTGTATATGAGTGAATTTTAATAGTCCAAAATGCTATACCTTTCTGTAAAAAAAAAAAGTGGGGTGGGTAATAGCATAGACATGCCTGATAAAGACATGCAGTATGTAGAGTTTAACTAAGATAATTTATGAGAAGCATAATTAACTATATACTTCGTTTCATTATTTCAAAAGAAACTCAAAGCCAAGCTATAATAAATAGCCTGCGGTTATTCAGGGAACTTCATGGCTGAATGAACTCTGAAATCTGGCCTCTTCAGCTCTACTGTAACTACTATGCCACATTTGCTGTGGCAAATTTTCTTATTATTGTGTTCTAAATGCTAGGCTTGTTTAGACTGGAAGGTTGAAAGACGTCAGCTCAGAATTTATGAATGCAATTCTCTAAATTGCAGTGTCCAACATGAGGCTTCCTAGACTCATGATTAGATTCTGCCATTAACTTGGAATCTGTGAAACAGTTTTCTTTCTCATCTGATTCCCTGAAAGTGGGATATCATCTATCTAGGGTCTTACATTCTACAAAATTCAACACATAATGAGAGAGAGAGAGAGAGAGAGAGAGAGGGAGGGAGGGAGGGAGGGAGGGAGGGAGAGGGAGAGGGAGAGAGGGAGTAGACAAACAAACACAACATAGAGTATCACTCCTCCTGTGACCTTAACCATTGAAATAAGAAAATTCCAGTCCCTCCATGCCAAAGAGTTGTTTGCCTCTTATATAAAGAGCTCCACAGGAATGTCCTGCAAATTTAGCATTTAAAGTCATCATATAGCTAGCAATTCTTAGACATTTGATACAGTCATTTTTTTCATTCAAATATAAATTCATTCAAATATAAATACATTATTGATAAACATATGATTAGGTAGGCCAATGAAGACATCTTAATATCATTCTTAATTGATAAATTAAATAAGCTATACATTTAGCAGCACTAATACCTAGTGAGGGCATGCAGTTCTTCAAAAATAGTGAATAGTAGGAGATAGCAAAATATATTGATTCTATACTGTCATTGAATGTTTGTGCATATGTGGGCCCTAAACACTTTAGACTAGGAATAAGTGTTCTGGTAAGAATAGTTTCCCTTCCCCTGCCCTTCTATCCTCCACCATACAGTACTAAAATGAGGATGGATCCAGGGCTCCTGTAGGGGAGTCAAAAGGTCATCTGTCTGGTCAAGGATCACATCCTTTGATATGCTTTGCAAGTGCAATGCATATTAAAAAGAGGTGGGACATCTTGACCTTTCTTTTAATACCCCCCGTCATCATGTGAGATGCCCTGCCCAATATAACACTGTGGATGTCATAGTGTGTCACTCTGCTGTCTTCCACAACTTGCTCCCAATGTGGTGCCCTCCAGATCTACTAGATACAAAATCCATCACTGTGGCCATTCTGTTGAATACGATGGGGGCTAAAGTCAGTTCTTCTGGTGGACACTATATTGAGGATTATGCCTCATATACCTGAGTAAGCTTTTGCTGGCTGGTTGATTCTGAAAGCTGAAGTCTACACATTTTACAATTGCACTGGATCAAATGCTGATATTTTTGAGACTTCTGAAGTGTGCATGATCTCCCCACCATCAGTTTCAAATTCAGTTTCAGACTGCCTTCTTTCTTAAGTGCCAGTCATGTACTGTTTCTTTTAGACTGGGATTCACATATTACACCAAGGTTTCTTTAATACAGTATTCTGAAGCATGTAGCTTGTTAACAAATTGTAATATCAGCATTTACATAACAAATTACTGCAATATCAGACCAAACAAATTAATATAGTTCTGCTGTGGAACCTGGTCTGAATCTTTTTCTGGACAACAATGCCAAATGCTGACGTTTTCCAATTAATTACAGATGGTCTTTGACTTATGACTGATCACTTATGTATAAATTGCCCTGTTAAATCAGTTATAATTTAGTTCAGCTTCTTTCTTACAATAGTCAGCTACATGCTTTTACAAAGCATTCTGCAAAGAGAAATACCTGAATGTCTTATTATTCAGAAATACAACCCCTAATAAGGTTTTACTTAACTTCAGAGATATATTGTCTATTCTTCTTCATCTAGCTTTTCCTTACAGATAATTTTTATACAATTCTCTATAGCTGTCTACTCAAAATTGGGCTGATGGTGAAATCCATATCATACAATTTACCTATATTTTAGATACTTCGGCAGTGTACAAACAACACACTAACAAAGGTTGGCTGAATGGTTTCGTGAATCAATACAACTGCCTGAGTTCACAAAACAACTCTTGAGGCACAATTTGCCAACCACATTTCAGTTTGCTGTGTTGATGGAATCCACAGTTGTTGAACTGTTCCCATGGTGCTAGAAAATTCACCTTGAAGCAGCTAAAAACTGTTAAAAATAAGAAAACAATGACCATGGTGGATGAAATAACCAGAAAGGAATCAGGAAGGTGTTAAAATGTAGAGGAAGAAAAGCATGTCTACAGATTGCCCCGAGAGGGCAATCAACTATACCACTGTGAAGGTTTAAAAAAAAGGTATTTGGGTTTCTTTCATAATGAACCAAATTTGAAGGAGTGTTGTAATTGGGCTCCTGCAGGCTTGAGTGCATGCTCATAATAGCAAACTGGGATTTCCTCCCCATTGATATCTACTGGGCAATATTTCTTCTCCAATATATTTTTCCCCATTTCCCACAGCCATTCTTCATCTGCTTCAATGCATGTTGAGTACTCCATTTCCCAAGTGCAGCACTGGTCTGGTGTTATGGGGAAACTCCTCAGAAACTGCCTTAGAAGAGGAATAAACGATCGACTGTAATCCCTTTTTACAGGAACATTTTATTACCCCAACCCAAGGATGTCAATCTCAATTTCACTGAGGTCTGCATCAGGGTTGTATTTGACTTCGGGTGTGTGGGTGTGTGGGCATGGCCAGCTTGATGTCACTCGTGTCAGGGGTGTCTGTGGTGACCTGAGTACTCTGCCAGAGAAAACAAGCTTCCGAGCTCCATTTTCGGCTGGGACAGCCTCCTGCAACTCTCTGCCAGCAAAAATGGAGCTCCATTTTTGCTGGCAGAGGCACTACAGGATAGTGTTTCTAGGGTGGCCCCACTGGCCAGATCTAAGCACTCTACAGTCCGGATGCAGGCCGGCCCCCAGCCCTGGAGTTTGACACCCCTACACTAACCTAACTGATAGGCTCATTTTGTGCAGATTCAGATCTTTGGTGTGTATCCCCTGTAGATCAGAGCTAACCCTGCGGGAATACCAGCCAGGCCACCTGTACAACTATCACAAAATACAGTTTTTTTTAAAATTGCTGTTCTTTTCTTTCTATTAGCTAATTTTTGGAGAATTATGTAATCCAAAGAAAACATATCCTATTCAATTTTAGAATCCAATTCTATGCAAACTTACTGAGAATAATTCCTTAATGGAATTATTTTTGAACAGATGTATGTAAATACAAACCAGGGGCTTCTGTTGGAGGGCAGATCAAAAAAGTCAAGATGGAAGTTGTGATTGTACAAACAAAGCTCCCTGCCTTTTTATCTGCGTTGCATGCCAGACTGTGTGATTGTATCTGTATTTTGACTTTTTAAAATGTTCCCTGCAGGTCTTTCTAGTACATAGTTCTGTTTCTATGTACTGAAAATGGACACCACTCTGGAGCTGGATAATACAATAAATCTAACAATTTGATAAAAAAAATATGCCCAATTGGGGAACATGGGTAAGACGGGGCAACATGTTCCTTTAATTGACTTACCATGCTATGTGAATACAACCATAAAATCATAAATTTTTCCATTGTCTTCCTGAATGACTAACTTCTAGGAATCTTGTACTAACTTCATGCAGTAAAAGAAAAACTGGGTTTGATGTGCTGAGTAATTCCAGTTCCAATTCCCTAATCTTTAATTGTCTCCTGTTGGAGCTGGAAACGATTCCAAAATAAGCTTTTACAGAAGAATTCAGTTGGACCAGAGCACTGAATGAAAGCCTAATTTCTTTGCTGATTGCATCTTTCAGGGAAAAATCCTACAGATGAGTACTTGGAAGGGATGATGAGTGAAGCACCTGGACCCATTAATTTCACTATGTTCCTCACTATGTTTGGGGAGAAGCTGAATGGCACAGATCCAGAAGATGTCATTCGAAATGCTTTTGCCTGCTTTGATGAGGAAGCCACAGGTATGATCAGAACAGATCCTTTCTGTAATGCAACTGGGAATTTCCTGCTAAGCCATCTGTGAGAGCTTGTAGCAATAGATAGATCCAAAAGTATAGACTCACTTGGGTGTATTATGAACCATCTATAGTGCCTGGGGCTAGGTTTTGTGGAATTTCTTTGAGAGACTGAAAGCAAAATTTTTTTTTCTTCCATAATACTAAATTAAATCAGTCCTGTCCCTAAGAGATCTTTGTCTTGAAATGAATGAAAAGTGTGCATTATAAGCCTAGGCTACATGTAATTTGCTCCCATAAAAGTCTTGTATGCGGCCTCAAATATTTATTCTAAATGATTATTTTTAATGTGACAGGAGAAGGAATTTATTGGATTCACAGGAAGCAAATTATTTCATTTTAATTAAATCTCAGGTTTTGGGCATCAATCATTTTAGGGAGTGTCATCTATGGCACAATACCAAGCACAATCCCCATTCTGATAAAAGTTTCACATCTGTGAAAGGAACAGCAGTCAAACTTCTGGAGAAAAAAATTGTTTGGATTAAATAATAGAAATCCTTTTTTTCCAAATAGTAATAATTTAGGAAGGTCACATTTCATTTCTGAAATTCATTGGAACATGAAGCAAAAGCCATTGAAAACTTCTTAATCAGTTCTCTGTTGGCCATCTTACCCTATCTCATGGAGGGCAGGGTCTTTCTTCTTTTAATGGACACATGTCTCAGTCCTTCTTTCCCCTCTTCATCTCTGATGCAGGCTTCATTCATGAAGATCAACTTCGTGAACTGCTTACCACCATGGGTGATCGTTTTACAGATGAGGAAGTAGATGAGATGTATCGAGAAGCTCCAATTGACAAGAAAGGCAACTTTAACTATGTGGAGTTCACTCGTATCCTGAAACATGGAGCCAAAGACAAAGATGATGAAAACTAAGAGAGATTTCAACTTCCAGTTATCCTTGAGATTCTTTGATGCCCTGGGTCAAGTAACAGAATGGGTTACACTCTGAAATATGTCAGAGAACTATTTCCATTCTTAATGGAGAATAAGCTTTTGCATGTCTGTGTATGTTCACATGGATCAATATTGACTCATTTTTAAGCCACCTGTTGATTTGATAGGTCCCATGGAGTAAAATATTTACAATATCCCCTTTATAAACAAATTTCCAGATATTATTGATGCTGAATGAGAAGAAACATTGTGAGTGCATCTGATATTGTTTCATACACCACTAGCGTTTGAACCTAGCATTGCTGGACTTTTTAAAATAGAAATCTCTTTTCACTCACATGTACAGCTGTAATGTGGCTCACACTCTTCAGCTTTTTCACTGCCATCACAAACTAGTGAGGTAGGAATATTCCCTTTTTAAAGTTGAGGTGAGGTGGGAGCTGAACTATATAGTATATATAGCCTGGGCTGCTCTATCACTCTTCAGGTGTGAGAATGGAATCAGGGGATCCAGACCCTACCTCAAACTTTTACATAATGGAACAAGTTAGCTTTCACCCTCACAGCTTAAATTGAACCCATGAAAACATCATTGGATACCAGATTAGCTGATATCTCACTGCCTTATGAGAATCACATCCCATGTAGTAAAGATGTTTTCCTCACAAAGCACATTTGACACTCATACAAAGATTCTTTCAAATTTCTCCATTGCTCTTGACCCAGACACATAATCTATCAGCTAATGCATTGATAAAGAAACAAGTTGATTGGTCCACCAAAGCTGAAATTCTCTCTCACATAAATCCCACCTTGGACTCTGATCTAATATAGTGTTTTTGTGGAGGTTGCCTGAAAAATTGAAGAGGAAAAAAAAACCACAAAAAATAAACCACTTTTCCATATCTGTTTTAATTTTTTTCCCTTCTGTTTCTACTGAAATGCCTGGCTTGAAAAATTCAATATTTTTATTAAAAAATACAACTTTTGCAGAAGTCCTAAAATTATCCTTACTGATTTCCAATTAATGAGAGAGGTGGCTGCACTGTTGCTATCTGATTAAAAATTTTGAGATTTGACTAACAGAAGTAAATGTGTTCCTCTACATGTTTCCTTATTCATTATATAATGGATATTTATTATTGTGAAAAGTATCATAAAAACATTTTCCCCATCAAGGTTTCTTTTGGGCATTTCTTGATATCATTATGTGGAAAGGGAATTTCACGAAGGCAGTAGTGTCACAAAAAAAAAAAACAGGAAAAGCCCAAGGGGAACATCAGGTCATCCAGAAAACAAACTTACATAGGAAAAGGAATCAAATAAAAAGTATTAAAGAATCCCTATAGACCAAAGCCTAAGTAATTAAGAAAACTAGACAAATAGGAAAAGGAAACAAAAGATAATTTGGAAAACCCTTACAAACACAGGACACACCAAATAAGCAAAACAAACAGACAAAAGACACAAAATATAAATTACAAAAGGGACAGACAGACGAGATTGCCACAGAACAAATATGAAAAACTATCTTAAAGCTAAAAGAGATTACAGAAAACCAATAATACAATCTGGCCACCCCACAGAGTTTGCCTTCTGCACCCCACGGAGTTTGCCCTCTGGCGGAAATAAAGACAAACTCAAACAGGATTTGAAACATTAGGCACAAATACAAACACTCACACAAAATCAACTTACAAAGGGAGAAAAGGGTATAAAAAACCAGGGACTTACCATAAGAAGCTAGCTAGCCCAGGAACGCAGACTTCTCGCTGTTCTCCGCCTTCCTGAAAAATAAAAAGATCCAGCTTTCAAGCAGTTGTCCGTATCCTTGCGCCGGAACTCTCCGAGCAGGAAAATCGAATCCTCAAAAGAAAAGCATTTTGACACCTTTCAACAATTATTAAAAAGTTTAGTTCAGAGTTCAAACCTTTATTGTCAATGCACAACATGTGTACAATGAGATTGAATGAACTTCCCTTGGTGCAGCCCACCCAAGAACACAGAATACATCTCAATAAATAAAAAGAAATCCCTAACCCCAGATAAGTAATAAACTAGCATACATTACCACATACATATATCTATATCTATATCTATCTATATTCAGTATCTATATATCTATATATACCAGTGGTGGGATTTAATTTTTTTTTTTTTACTACCGGTTCTATGGGCGTGGCTTGGTGAGCATGGCAGGGGAAGGATACTGTAAAATCTCCAGTCAGAGGTGGTATTTGCTGGTTCTCTGAACTACTCAAAATTTCCACTACCGGTTCTACAGAACTGGTCAGAACCTGCTGAATACCACCTCTGATATAAATGAAATACCACTCACACATCATCACAAAATCTCCAGAACTGTAAAGCCTATAAACTTGAAATTTGGCACATATGTTCCTCTTGGCTTCTAGGTGCTCACTAAGAAAGGATTTTTTGAAATGACCATCAGAGCATTAGTATTTCATATATTATTATTAACACACTCTGATGCTAAGGAGTTCTGTTCCCCTTCCCCATCTGAAAGGAAATCTGTTCCAAATGCAAAACACAAGCAGAGGAGAGGAGTTTCAGTTTCAGTTTCACAGTAGCAACCAGCTTTAGTACAGAACAGTTGAGCTAAGCCACACCTAGGCTTCTTGCTGTCTCCTTCTTGCTGAAAAACAGCCCTCAACTCTCTCACACACTGATTGGATGCTAGCCAGATGAATCCGCTGGATGCTGGTAGGCAGAGGCACAATTTTTTCCTCTTATTTTCCTCTCCAAAAATTGAGCCCGACCACATAGTTTTGTAGCGAAGTACAGGTATCAAGCTAGTATATAATATTACACTGGTATATACACTGGCTCTGTAAGTCTATCACATTAAGCCTAATTGTGGTGTTAGGTTGCATTTAGTAGTCTGATGGCCCATGGATAAAAGCTATTCTTCATCCTATTTGTCTGTCTGGCTCTGCTTCTATATCTCCTGCCTGATGGTAGGAGAATAAAGAGATACTGTCCAGGATGTGAGTCGTCCCTTAGGATTTTCCTCACTCTGCTGAGACAGCGGGATCTGGCAATTTCATCCACTGGGGTTAGGGGGCAGCCTATGATTTTTTTTTTTGTGCTGTGCTCATCACCCTCTGTAGTGCCTTCCTGCCTGCAGCTGTTAAGCCAGCATACCATACCATGACACAATATGTGAGGGCGTCTTCTTTCACGGACTGGTAAAAGGAAGTCATCAGCCATTGTTCCACCTGGTTTTTCTGCAAGACCCTAAGGAAATGGGGTCTCTGCTGGGCCTTTCTAACCACCTGGGACGTGTTATTTTTCCAGGTGAGGTCATGGCTAAGGTGCACTCCCAGGAATTTGAAAGAGGAGAGAGCCTCTCCACACAGCCCCCCCCCCCTTGATGTAGAGTGGGGCAAGTTCCCCTCTCTGCTTCCAGAAGTCCAACTGGTGTTGCTGGTGTTGCTGGTGTTTAGGTGCAAGTTGTTTTCTGAGCACTATGTAGATAACTTCTGGACTTTTTCCCTGTATGCTAACTCGTCCCCTCCTGTAATAAGACCCAGCATGGTAGTGCACTGTCATCTGCTGGTTTAAAAGTTTAAATCAAATAGAGTTGGCAATTTTCCAGAGACCCACATATACCCCACAAATGCTTTGTGTGACCCCCAGAAACCTCTAGAAGCCATCCAAAAGTTGCCACTTAAGTTTACAAATGACAAAAGAACATTGTTGAATTCACTAGATTGTCAACTGTATGTATTCTCTGAATTGTAAGTCTATCATATTCTAAAAAAAATATTCTTCATATTTCCCTGATCCATAACCAACTGCTATAATGAGCAGAAGCCAAAAGTAGCCTAATCAATTGTGAATTACTTACAAAATCTCAAGAAGATTGTTGTGGTCTCTCACAAAGCTTGGACCAGCTCTTCTATTCAGCAGAGTGAGATGTTGAGACCCAGGGAAAGATTGAGAAGTGCATATTGTTTGTCCACTCTGTACACTGCTAAAGGCTATTACTTCCAGGTGCAATGCAATAGTGCGTGTTACTCATTGTCACAAGTGAAGTTAGAATTCAACATCTACATATATACTAGGCTTCATTTATTCTTCATTCAGAGAGCAATATATATTTTCCTCTCTGAATGAAGAGCAATATAAAAGGAGTCTGTATTTAGACTGAAAATACAGATCAGGTAGATTTGCACTTCCACCCTCCATGTGGTTTGAGACTGTTTGACTTAGCATGATTGTGAAACCCTGCCATTATGGCTTCTTCAAACCCCATAGTTATAACCAACTAAACACAATATCTGAACCCAAGAGATTCTAACTGCTAGGAAGTGTTATTCATTGTGGTCTCCACATCACCTTTGTGGAAAATGTGGAAGACCATTGTTATTTTATAACTGTTGCTTTTTCAATAGTATATTTTGGGTTGCAGAAATATATTAACTTAGAAGTAAGCTGTCCTGAATTCATCATGCTTGTTTTTAGGGAATAGTCCAGAGGATTTCAACAATGGAATTCTACGTGCACCAATTCAAAAATAAACACCATTAAGTTCAATGGACAGTGCACAATACATGAATTTAGATTCTTGCATTTTCCATTAAGAAATGAATTACAGTAATCCTCTGCTAGGGTTATGGTAAATTGGTTGCCCTGACCTAGGCAACCTGCAGATGTCTTTGAACTATAACTGGCCATTAGGGAGAAGGTTGTGTTAGATATTGACCTAGAATAAAAGAGTAATATAGAATTGTTTATTAGCCAAGTATGACTGAACACACATAATTTGTCTCTGGTGCATACGCTTTCAGTGTATATACAAGCAATAAATGATAAATCATGATCATAATCATAAATACAATAATCATAAAGCATAAGGTGCAACATTCAGTGATATAAATTCTTTGTGTAGCAGGACAACAATTCAACATAGCTTGCCTGATAAAACAAAGTTTGATTCTTCATCTAGTGCTTATATTTCACTGTGTTCATTCTCCTAGCACACATTAAAAAGAAGAGGAAAAAAACCATTAACAAAATAATGTGGATAGAGAGTAACCTCCTTTGAAATAAAATCGGGATATTTTATTATGTTAAAAACATGAAGATTAGAGTGCTGCAAATGATGCTTGTAAATTACAGTATATATCTTGCCTACAAGAGCTACAGTTTTATCAGATGCTTAAAACATGGCTGATCAGGGAATTCTGGGACTTGAAGTCCACATGTCTTTAGGTTGAGAAACAATAAGGTAAAATGCAGTTCACTATTTTTTGGCTTGCTGTGTCTCTGGAATCTTACTCAACATTATGGTAAGCAGAAATAGGTAAGTAATTGCATGGCAATTTCAGAGCAGTAAGGAAAAGGAAGTTTGCTAATTATGCGTTCACTCAGTTCCTTTGCCTTTTGCAGCAAAAATCCAACTGCCATTTCCTCCTCCTCTCCAAAGGTGTAACTATATACCTGTAGAATAATTTCAGAGTAATATGCAGCTGTAACAAAGAAATGGGTGGGCATAATGTAAATCGGGATTTGCTGGTAGATCTTTTTGAGAGATTTCTAGTAGTTTAGCAAGGATTTCTGATTCTGAGCTACACAACCAATAGTAAAATTCCTTCCCAACTTCAATCAGAAAAGCAGAAAGATAAAATCTAAGGGCTTAGGACCTTTATCTATGACTCAGTTTTGTGACTAATATAATCATATTTCTAAGCTAAGCATTTGCTCCACAGGCCAGATGGGTTCACATATTGCTTGTGATTTGTAAATATAGATGTAAGTAGTTGTAGTATAGTTAACAAGCCACAGTTTCACAGGGTATGAAGTCCAGGGCCAAAAGGCTTCCTTTAATTCTATGCATATATATTCTTTGTTGAGGAACTTAAAAGAGTTTTAGTTAACAATCCTCAAAGCCACATTTATGCATTGATTAAGAAACA